TTCAAATCTACTATATAGACATTTTTGCTAATATTTCATAAATGGTAAATGGGACCACAGTGCAATCAAACTCACCCCAGCAGGATGTGGAAATTTATATAATTATGTTGTGACCTTCGAACAGAAAAAAATGATGAACCATGAAACATGTATGTTAGTTATTCACACTGACAATATTTTGTGAATAAACATGAAAAATAAGGCCAGATAAATATTGTTATAAACACAATCCTTCACCTGAATAAACTAACCCTGTATAAAATATATTTGAATAGTTTCAATCATTCATTATTGGGATAAATAAAATAACCCACAACCTTTGAACTGTAAGGTCAGTTTATAAGGAGATGTGATAAATACAATGTACATATATAGACTACCTATAGTGACTATAGGTTTAGAGATTTGGCCATTCCCTGACCCTATAAAAAAAATACACTTGCTGATTCAGCATTCATTTACTGATAAATGAACTCCATGGGCATGTGTTGCTTGCGAAACAATTCAACATCATTGAGAATAACAGTTTATATGATCTTTTTAAATGAGCCCCCCACCCCCTTCCAAAGTTGAAATAATTTAATAAGGCCAAAAAAATAATATTACCTGTGTTAATTTTTATATGTGACTTCTTCAAAAACAAATCACAAAAGACAAACTACTATACCAAATGGCTGAAACCACTGTCTCCAGGTTGCAACAGCATCATTAAATGAAAACTTGCTAAATAAATGAGAAGTGAAAGAAGGTGTTCCACAAACAGTAAAGTACACCCTGTCTCATGCATAACAATTGTAATTGATCAAATGAGTCTCCAATACAAACTTTCAGTCTAATATTTTAATGTATGTGAATGACCTCACAATATAAATGTATTTTATCTGCTTAAATTCACCATGTCCATCGAAACATTAAAGAATAAAATTCAAAACTATAGAAATACAAGTACATGTACGCCAGTATATGTCATTCATTTATCAATTTTATGCTGTAAATATATGAGTCAATCGCTATAATCATTTTCTAAACCAATCCCATAGAAAAATTACTGAACTACCGAACATACAAATACTGTATCCACCACTGGAGCAAAGTTAAGACCAATCCTTAAGGCTAATAACACTTAGAATTACATGTACTCTCTGACGGACTTTTTAAAAAAAAAGTTCAATGAGTTACATGATTCATTTCTTAAATTTTGATCATCAAGTTCATTACTTCTCGCATATTCACTCTGATCAAAGAGAGTTTTTATGTTGAGCAACTATAAACAACTCCCCATAATTTTGATATTTTATTTTAGATGCTTGACCGATGTAATTATTGTATGTGCTACACAGAATGAAATTCTAGGTACATTTATACGCTAAATCTTATACCTCTCTGCCATATCAATGAAAGGAATCACTCATTAGGAGAGAACTTTCCTGACTTGCCAAATCCCTCACCTTGTTTAAATTCAGGGATCTTTTTTTAGGTGAGGCACTCAAGAGCTTTTTTCAGCTCACCAGCCAAATATAGTAACAATGACTGACATATTGTACATTGGACTGTACCTTAGACCAGTGGTTCTCAACCTTATTTTTTTGGGGGGGGGGGGGACGGCACACCTTGGAATACATGAAAGAAAAGTGGCACACCTAGCTAAATATATATGAAAAATATCTGAATTTTGCAAAATAAAAACATGGCAAGTAATAGACGGCATACTATTGTAGACACAGACCAGTCATAGACACAGAATGACTCAAACTAAATAAAGAAAAACACAGCTATGAATTTAATTTATTACAGTGTTTCGAATTTCATCAGTCAAATAGCTGGCTTCTTTAGTGAGAAATTTTCTTAGTGTGCCATTCAAAATTTCATGGCACACTTTGGAAGATCTCACACTGGTTGAGAATCACTGTGATACAGGGAAGGCAATTTGATATTCTCAATCAAATGCACTCTACAATTTGTTTTTATTTCTGTTAATTTGGTTTCACTTTATTTCATATAAACTAATGATACATATACATGTACATAGTATTACCTATGTGTAAACAGCAAATTACAAAGAACCATTTGAATATAAGCAGGGCCTCAGTAACAGTGCTGATATGTGTGATGGAATGTAGCTTTTACTATGAACGGTAGGCCTACACAGTACATGTTGAGACAGCCAACCCAGGATCAATAACTAACACAGTATAACAACTTGACTCCACACCATCATACCAGACCTTAGTCCAGTTTGCGTGGGTGGTGAATTATCTCAAGGTGAAGGTCAGTGTATTGACCAACTATGGTAGACTACTGGTCAGTTCATTGATGAGACTCAATGCAGATGGAATACTTGGTCAACCAGACCACTGATGTATGTATTTAGGAAGGAAGTCCATGAAATGAAAACCCTTTGTTTCAGTGGTGTTGAAGCCACGTTTGTTATGAAATCTTGACCTGGCCAGTGTTTGCTTCATAGACTATAAGTTTGCATCGCGTCCCCTATAATTCAAATCCTTGCTATGCTAACTGTACCAGACACTAGTACTGAGCTAGGTTTGATATGACAATGCAGTCCACAATTCACATTATCTTGATTATCCAGTCTCGATAAACTTGATGTTCTATACTGAACTAAATATTCTGTGGTTGGCTTAAAATGCACTTCAGATAATTAAGAGACTTGATGTTCCTATCCCTAAACCAACCCCCGGAATTTCATTAATCCACTACCATACCTTGGTTCTCAAAGTAGGAATACCAATTATACAAATTTGTGCCAACTAAAATGTTTCCCGTCATAATTTATTATGGTAATGCTTTTTTTTTATCTTGACGGTCTGTCAATTTTACATTTGATGTACGTACATTGGTAAGTCTGATAGTGATTAATACTGTTTGTTAAAGAATACAATCAGTACAAATGTATATGAATAGGTAGTCAGCACATACATGACTTTCAGATTTAGTATGGTATAGTTACCCAGTATTTTATTATAAACATCCGATACTCATGTAAATAATTCATATTTTGACTGTTCTAACAGTCCACAAAAAATATTAATACCTTACAACACCTCGGCATTTAAAGAAACTTTATTGTGGTGTACAAAAGGCCAATCCCCAGGATATATGTATCAATTTACATGCCAAACAATTACTTTATAGTTTTCAAGGAATTGGATGAAGTTTTATGCAAAATAACTTAGTTGACATGATTTAACTTCATGTGAACTGCTCAGATTTCAAAATATAGATATTTAGCTACATGCGGTATTATTTACAAGTCACACAACTGTGTTGTTGTTTTTGGGAGGTGTATGTATCAAGGAGTTTAATGAATGCTTATGAAAAATACCTTACTCCAAGTAGGACAGTGCTAGGATTTTTGATGACCAGCCGTTTCAAATATGATATTGTTCAAAATGAATTCTAATTATTTCCTTGTGAAAGATAATGCCTGCGCACTAGTTCCTGACCACAACTTACGTAACATTATACCTGTCAAAACCATTGTAATTAAATCAACTGATTCCTAACACATACCTTTTTGATAAAAGGTGAAAGGTGTCTTATTTTGACTTAACAACATTAGGATGCAGTAAAAACCCTATATATCCAACTTTTAAATACATGTAAGAAAAGAAATATAAAATATCTAAGTCTTAATACAAAGTTTTTAAAATAAACTCGCTCTATTCAAATACACAAACCAACAATAACTCCTGCAATATATAATCATAACAAAACAACAAATCAATCAATTCATTCAGTATGATTTTATTTAGTTTTTTGTTACTCACGAAAAGCCGATAAAATACAAGCACAGCGACGATCAATTGCTGTGGATATTTTATTAACCTACCTATATTTTCTGAACTGTTTGCATGAATAATATTTTTCTCTCGACATGGCGTTGTTTTTTATTTGGTAATTCACCAAGGTGTATTTAGTTTATTTATAAAATTTTTATGTATGTATTTTTGTTTATTCAAGTTACAATAATATTGCATGATTCATTCAGAAAACTTGATGAACACCTGTTTCATTCAAATACATATTCAAACTTTACTACCATATCAATAATCTTACCATTTAATATCCTTACCTGATAAAATACAATTTAAACCAACTCCACTTTTTACTATCAATATTTTACCATCCACTTTTCCTGATATGTTTTATTTAAAATATGTCAACTAACATTCTTAGGCCATGCAACTAAATGTTCAGGTTCTCGGACAATAATCCTTACCAAAAATCTGATGCGTGAGGGAGGTTTTTTTTCCTTGAGCACGTTTTTATTTTGTCAAAGGCTCACTCACTACTGGATTAAATGACATTTCAACTTCAAGGCACTACATGTATCTCATCACGTTGTTGAATTTATGATTAGCCAGTATCATTAATGATTGTCAATAAAATCTATCGGCCTGATACCCTGATAATCAGGGTAACATGATAATTGAGTCTATGGTACATTTTAGATTTATTCAAATTTTTTTATTGTTACTTCCTGTAACCCAGGGAAAACATTTATGCACGTTAATTAAAGAGACCATTTATATTTTTTTAAATAAAAAAAAAAGGGTCATGTGACTCTTTTTATGTCACGTGACGTAGGATTATCTGAAAACCAGAAAAGTTTTTTATTTGGCCGTACCTTTGCTACTTTTATCCCTCTGGGATATTTCTACAAAAAACATTGGAAATTTAAGTATCTTAGAATTCAAAACTTGAAGATCAGCTCCCAAGTCCAAAGAGTGAATAGCAATAAGCAGGACATAAAAGATACATGTTTGTAATTTATGGCACAAAACGGCATGCAAAATCAAAATTTATTGGTACCAAATATGTCCGAATAATCATCACACTGAATAATATGTGTACTGGTACTAGTCAGCTGCATCCCTGAAAAATAATCGCAAAATATAGAAATATTGTATGACAGTTGTTCTACTCGACTGCTAAAGAAAAGAACATTCAGATATCACATGTAAATTGAAAAAGCTTACCGAATTATCTGTCATTCTTTTTCCGACGATAGAATATTCACTGCGAGGTTCTGAGCCTCCTCCATTTATTTTGAGGTGTTTTAATCCAACCTGACTGAGTCCTCCTCGGTCCATGGGTAACCAGCCACCCGAAGACTCGTCACGCACCATAACTTGTGCCTGGACTTGAACCAGGTATTCTCCACTGAAACATACAAAAAATCAAATTATTAGTTTAGAATGGTTTGGAGATTCTCAAGGAGTAGGACATTAAAAAAAACCCATCTCATTTCAGACTTTCAATATTATTTTTTCATGCAGCAATAAGCAGGGTCAAAATATATATGGGAAAAAAGTTTTATCAGTAAAATATTAATATATCATCCAATGAAAAAAGGAGAAAAATACTGTGTAAAAGGTCCAGTACAAGACTACATGTATTATCCAATGAAAAAGGGAGAAAAATACTGTGTAAAAGATACAGTACATGTATTATCCAATGAAAAAGGTCAAAAAGTAACCTTGTAAACAGTACAGTACATTTATTATCCAATGAAAAAAGGCCAAAAATTCCTTGGAAAAATTCAAGTACATGTATTATCCAATGAAAATGGGCGAAAAATCTTTATACAAGTAATTAACACATTTTCATATTGTTATCATACCGGTACAGTAAAAAGAACAAAATTTGTCGAATGAAAAATACAGTGTCCAGGCATTGTTTTGGATGGATATTGATTTACTTATTTTTTGGGGGTGGAACACAAGTTTTATTTCAAAAATAAAACCTTTAATAATTTTAATAACCTGTCTACAATTGTTGTCTATTTAATGTGATGACATTCAACAACATAATGATGCGAGTGATTTTAATTAGAAAGACTGGATGTTGATAAGATACAAAGTGGTATGACAAATATTGGATTTTTTTTTATCTCTGTGTGTAGATGGTAGACAGTGAGCTAGTTACTTGTAGTAGATGACATCAGCGTGGTCAGACTATTTATAGTAACAAATCACATTCCACTAGTCATTAGTAGTCACCAAACTAGGTAATCAGTCGCCATTTTAAATGGAACTACTATATTTCTTTTAAGGATATTATACACCAGATCCCCAAATTTAGCCTCATTCTCAAATTAGTGGAATTTTACCAGTTTTGTTTTTTTAAAGTTAAAGTGGCATGAACAAATACAGAGATAGGTCATAAAATAAGACAGCAATCTCCTGCATCCAGTCATATTTTTACCACATAAATGTAAATTTTGATTCTTGGTTCTCCTCGTATATAACAAATAACATCAAGTCCTCATTATATAACAAATAACATCAACTCCTCCTTTTTATATACATTTATATATATAGATATATATTATATACAGAGTAAAATATTTTGCACAAGTGAACAGCTCGAAATGGATCTTAGAACATCCATATACATGTATCTCAGAAATGGAGTGATACATCTAAAACATATTACCATGATGTAATTCAGCCCCAAGAAAAGTCCATTTTGTATATCTTTAGACAAATTTAAAAGTAGTGCTCATTAAGAATAACGCATCACTTTTGTTTCAAGACAAAGGAAGTGCTGATTGGTCAGGAGCTTTTCTACATTTGCTAATTACATGTGCCAATTGAAATAAAGCACGATGTCACCAAAACAGGCAAATTATAGACATGAACCAATACTTTCATAGATCTTTTTCAAGATGACCGATTTCTCAGTTCGAGATTTATTTTGCCCGGACAGCAGCATGACAGCCTACTATTATTTCAAATTCCATGTGTCAATGGTTGTTTTATGGGTAGGCCTACTACATGTACAATGTGTACATGGGACCTGGGCTTTTCGTCACAACCAGATAACTACATGTACACTGTTCCTTGCCAGACAGCCCCATCCTGCACCACTGACAAAAGAAACCAGGCATGAAAATCTAGAGGACATTCCTCAGCCATCACTGAAATTGAACCTGGAACCTCTTGTGCCATGCGGGAATCGAACCTGGGACCTCTTGGTTATTGAGCCATGTGGGAATCAAACAAGGGACCTCTTGGTTATTGAGCCATGTGGGAATCAAACAAGGGACCTCTTGGTTATTGAGCCATGTGGGAATCGACACGCTTACAGATTTGGTGTGTACCTGACTGATATATATGCAAATGTCTGAATTTGGTTATATATTACATGTACATGTATGACCTGTTGTATGAGGTAGTCAATGTTATACAAAATGAAATAGAAGCACTGAGCAGTACACTATTATTGGAGTTTGTTGCCCTATAATATATGTAAATTCATTATTACATTATATTACAATACATGTAGGTGTGACATGTTATTGGAGCACCTGCTCACATTGTAATGATCCTAATAGGATTGCCTATTTATTTAAAGGAGCTAAACCTCTAACTCAAATAATACTATTTGAAATTAAAATTAGAATTCAATATTGGTCAATTTCAATCAATATTAATGTTGTCATACTACCGTGAAAATATGGGATCCTAATATTCAATATGTAAGACACAATGAACATCTTAAACTCAGTACACAACTCGAGTAGCCTACTCTCTATGGGCATATGGGTTTCGGGCGCCAATTGTAATAAACAAAGAAAAACATATCCCAGAAGACAATGCAGAACTAATTAAAATTGGCTGATTCACAAACAAAAGAATAATAATAAAAAATTCAATGTAAGCAGGCACAAATGACTGCTGTTCAATTTGGTCTGCTTACGTATTTCACCAAGCATCATTGATGAGAAATTACAATATACACACCTACACTAATGTGTTTCCCAGTCAGAGCAGACCAGTATGACTATAACCCCAATGTGCTTTTAGAAACATTCTCTTCAATTTTAAGGTTCGAAAAAATAGAGCCATAAATCCCTTAATTCATTTTTGGAGCAACAATTATGCATTTTTCTCCATTCAACAGAAATAAGTTGTATGGCTCTAGTTGTTATGTATGAAGAAATATGACTTTAATCCACACAAAAAGTCTTGACATGACAATTTGTACTACACTTTTCTACTTGAGTCGATAACAAAGTATTTTATTGTTATTTTATCAATGGAAAACAATATCTTGATACATAGATAGTTGTACATTGACCATGTAAGTAGGCTAATAAATATATTATCATATCTCATTCACAAACTTAAATTACTCAGAGTCCTTTTCCTTCAATGAGCTTCATTAATATTCATGAGATATAGATCATACACTAATCTACATTTCTAATACATGCATTCAACTAGGTCTGTGTATGGGGATCACGGTGGGTAAGGCGCTGGCTCGCTAGCCTGGAGGTCGGGTGTTCGATCCCTGCATTGGCCGAGAAAGTTCATCCAGATTTTCCGGCGTGATTCCCCCTTGTCAGTGATGCAGGACGGGGGCCTGACAAGGACAGCTGTCTAGTCCTTCGGATGAGACGGAAAACCGAGGTCCCGTGTATATATTGGAATACACGTAAAAGATCCCTTGACAGTTGGAATTCGATATAAGAGTAGGCTGTAGTGCCGCTGTCCGGGCAAAATTTCCCTCATAGCACACTGTATGGCGTATGCCCGTCTTCATTAGCCCAGTTCGGAGCAAAACAGTAGGACGTTAATCCCCATTTCATTTCATTTCAGGTCTGTGTATATTGCCATTTGGTGTAATTTTGGCTTAAATGGAATGAAACAGGATTTTAAATTAAATGGGGTTTAACATCCTGCTTTTCTGCAATGACTAGGCCAATGAAGACAGGTATTCGCCACACAGTGTGCTATGAGGAAAATTTTGCCTGGACAGCTGCGCTACAGCCTACTCTTATTTCGAATTCCAACTGTTAACAATTCTATTAGGTGCACACCAATGTGTACACATGGGACCTCAGTTTTCCATCATTCGATTGACTAGCCATTTTCTTTCCTTGCCGGCCCCTCCACCCTGCACCACTGACAAAGGGGAAAACCAGACTGGATACCACCTTGTCTTCCACAGTCAATCAAAACATGAGAATTAGACATTGTGACATAATGGCCAGTAACCAAACCAAATGCAAAAATTACACTGAACTTGCAGCTGTGTGTTCAAAAGTGTTGCCCATAGCTGAATGTTTAATCTGAATACACGTGGACACATTATCAAATATTACACAATTATACATGTATAATAAGTAAAATGAGTTTGCAAGTTACGTGTACAATTAAAGATCTCCAATAGTACATGTAGCTATGCTCAATGTAAAACCAAGCATCAGATTACCTCAGTGGTTTTATGTGTTTTCTTGTCACTCCTGTAAAAATTACAAAAGGTGTGACAATGTGACATGTGTAATGTGTACATCAAATATCTGTAAATAATCCAATAGTCGAAGTTAATACATTGTATAAATTCAAAGTTTATCAATGACTCCATTATCAATAGGCCTATTTCCATTGACTGAGATCCCCCTCTATGATATCTATCACTATCAGTCACTCCATTCGTAGACATAAAAAGTGGCTATCTACTGAGTTCAATTTTTTCTGAGATCAAATATGGTGATGCAGTTTCCAATATATACATGTAGTTTGTCATTGTGTCTTTTTGGTTTAGAACATTTAGATAATCAAACCTGTGGCCATAGACCTAACCTAGGGGTTCTTAAGGTTAGCCTACATTTACACCACAAATGGCAATCTATGGTGTAGATAAAAGATAGCCAGTGTGGTCAGCAACAGACAGGGCTTAATGCTGGAAAGAGAGATAGAAATGGGATGTAACGTCCACTCAACACAAACTGACTGGTCTAACACATACATGTAGAGGTCTTTAGCAGTGGAAGAAAACCAACGAGGACAGATGACCCTACTCCTTGTCAAGTAGCCTACATTTACCAGCTGGGAATCGAAACAAAGCCACTTGACTCAATGACAGACCATATGATCTAAAGTGCATGTTAGACCATTCAGCCACCCAACCCCAGCTAAAGCTGAAATGTGCCTCCATGTATTATGATATATTTCATTGCTGTGCACACAAATTTGTGGTCATCCATGTACAGAAAGGCTATTATTCACGTAGGTGGGTCTTTAAAAAAAAAAACAGATGTTAACAGAGTCTACCAAGGACTCCAGAGTAGTCCAGAGTATTTTCAGAGACAACCATTTTTAACAAGATGTTATGAAACTTACTTTCTAGACAGTTTTGCATGTACATGTATTAAGTAAGGCTGTCAAAAAATATTGCTATATCGATATATTGCAATACGATGGTCCGTGATGCACTGTATCAATACAATTTTGCTGTATCGATATTTTTCTACATTTATTCTGTATTCAAATGTTAGCTAGACTGTTTATAAAGACTTCATAATCTGTCGTATTATTTAGGCTTTGCAGTAAACAGTAAGTGTGCAAAGACAAGACCAAAGATGTAAAAACAAATAAAGTGAAATTAATGTGTATTTACATAATCAGTAATATTTTAGGCTTTGCGGTAAACAATAAGTGTCCAAGACTATTCAAAATGAAAACTGTGCTTTGTAATAAACTCTGACATTATTGAAGTATTGCAATACTACAATATATTGCAATACATTTTGTCAAGTATTTCAATATAATGCAATACGATTTTTGGCCGAAATACACAGCCCTCTAGGCTCTACATGTATGTCATATTGCTTAAAACGTACGATTTCATATTTAAAGCTGAAAGCATGGCATACATTTAAAGGTGGAGAAAAATTGTACACATGTATGCATGTCAAGAGTCAAAAATTAATTTTGTAGCAGCCATACAAATGTAATACATGTACCGTTGTTACCCGACATTGAAGAAAAACAAGGAACCCAAGCAACAATAGTGACTCTGCTAATAATGACATCAGTTATGTTCATAAATCACAAAATATAAATAAATAAACTATATAAAGTAAAAACAATCAAACCAAGGTTGATCAGGCAAAATGAGCAAACAAATCATTGTCTATTCATACACTACAGGACACTGTCATGTTTTACAGCTGAATTTTGACCTGACCCCCCGCCCCCACACACACAACTCCGGAGATATGTGAATACATGTACATGTAGTTCTCCAAGTTATACATGTAGGGCTGCATACATGTACATATAGTTCTTGTTTAAGTGTGCACCTCAAAGCCATTGATGTTCCATGGTTGGTTTAAGGAGCACTAGTTACAAGCGATTTGGATCAGTCCAACAGCTAAATCTATTTGTTAAGGCCAGCTCAATTTGCGTCAAGGTCGCTGAGATGTAAATACAATGTAAGGTTAGGGCACGTGATTGTTGGCAAGATTGTAAGTTAGGGTAAGCATTGGGGCTAGGTCTAGGATTAGGGTTGGTATTAGCACTAGCCCTGTTTACATCTTGTGACCTTTGACCAAACTTGAAGTTAGCCTTATCAAATAGATTTAAGCCCGGTCCAACTGCTACAAGGTTAATTATTTATTCAGTCTAAAGCTTACAATTCATTTTATACATGCACATGTACTACATGTATCAAAGATTCCTTACCCCCTAAAATGTATTTGAGAATCAAACAAATGCCATTTTATACACTCACGTTTAATAAGCTGTCGTCCCCATAAACCATTTCTTGGAATCACTCTAAAGGTCAGGGAACTTGTCCGATTTTGTTTTCAAATTGATCATTTGGATGAAGGGAAGAATCCTTTTGAAATTGGAGATTTTTTCTATTAAAAATCACCATGTTATATCCCTAATTACTTCAAACTTACGAAAGCTTGTGAAAGCAATAACAGTTTATTGATAGAACTGTTTAAAACTTGGTGGGTATGCTGATCAGGGAAAAAGAAAGAACTCTACTGAATTTCAAAATTTTCAAAAACATGTGATACAGGGCAGAGTTTTTGATAGTACTTTTCAAAACACACATATAATAGGTAGGTGTTGTTTATTTCGACACAAAGAACATAGACCAAATTTTTTTCAGTTACAGATCATTGAGTTCTAGAAATAGTAAGTATTCCCTGCTTAGTGTATATCAATCTGGGCAGTAATTTGAACATTGAACATAGGCCTACTTGGTGTGTTGCTTTTCCTTTTACAGTGGGACATTTGCCGGAGCAATCTGCAATGTGGGCCTGTTGTGGATAAACTCTATTTCTGAGATACATGTACATACATGTAACATGTACTGGTATCTTCCTTATGGTCAGTCAAACAGCAATTACATTCAATTCTCAAACAATATTTGCTCAATTTGTTAAACAGTGAACTGCGATGAAACAAACAACTGTCAACTTCCAGTCTACCTAGTATCTTTTTGGAAGACTAATGACAATAATTGACAGGAAAATTTTAATATTTCATTTTCATACAATCCGTGCTGCGCATTCAACCTTTTGAATTTAAGGAAAGCTTTGAAACTGTAAATTGGCTAGAATTAGTATTGTGACCGTCTAACTAATCAATTATGGTGCCATAAGTTTGAGCGATTCATATTTTTTGTCTTAATAATATTCTTGGTTTTATTTATTATCTGGGATCTACCATAATTACGAATAATATATCCTCTTTTATAAATCTTTAAGTTGCCTAAAGACAAAGCTTATTAAATATTGTGGTTTAATAAATAAATATGGGATTTCCCCTATTTGTAACAACAAATATGAATATAATCAACCTGTAGATGAAAGAAAATTTTAAAATGAAAATTTATAAATATGGGATATAAAGGCCTACATGTGGAATTATAAGGCTGTAAATTTACGCCTAAGTTTTAGCTGAATAAAGCCGAATCTATACATAGAATCTAATATAACTCTTAAGTTCTAACATAAGCAGGTGCCCTATTTACAACACAAAATACAAAAAATAAATCTGGGTTATAAACCGGGAAAAGGTATTAAAATATAATCCTCATACTATCAGAATAATATACAAAAATCTGTTTTTGCGGTCCGACAAGTTAACTCCATTTTAATACGCTCTGCCCATCGCTGAACTCTACTTCTAACCATTCACAGGGATTTATGAATGGAGGAATGAAAGCCATGAATGCGTGAACTCGGTCACCGGCCATAATCAGTTATCGGGTCAATGGGACATTTTTACCGTTACATTTCACCCCTGTACAATAAATACATCCATGAACATCAATTTTACAGTGCCAGGAATCCACTAGAATGAAGAAAATGGAGTGAGAATTAGATCCAAATGTCGATCAGGCCGTCCGCTGTTCCAGTTGTTACATCTTCTCTCCACCATGTTGAAAGATAAATTCGTTTACACAGACACCATTCCATGGCAAATTCCGCGTATCTATGGCACTTAGACGCATCAAATATGGTCTACTTACTCAGATAATGGTTCTTCTGTCATCTTTCATCCAGCATTTTCTATCTAGTTTACTTCATTATCGTTCTACATGTGTTTAAAATTTTTACAAAGTTCACAATTTCGCTACATTTTCTAAACGACAGGAAATGAAACCCATCACTGCGCGCGGAAGAATAAAAAGTAACACCAATAATAAACACAGTCACTTCATTTACTTTTCATAAAATCGTTTAAAAATGATATCCACGGAAATTCGCCATTGATTAAGTTGCGATTCACACTAATTAACTGTTCCTTTGATGTTAATTGGGGTGGCGGATGTGTAGCGTAGTGATATCAATATTATCGGCACACACAAGGCTGGTCTATATTCCATTATGCAAAATACCAAAGATTGTCGAAAATAAACCATTGAAATATTTACTGCAAGTTATATGCATTCTACTGTTATTTTAATAATTGTTGTCTCTTGTCTTCAATGCATTCTGTCGTCTATTAAAACTTTTGTTCTGGGTCGAGTCACAAGTTATAACGGTACATTGATATTTCGCATGTAAATTACCACGACCATATTACAGCCAATAGAAAGGCTGCGTTTGATGATGGTGTCAATCAGTTTCTAGTGAATCGCTATGTCATTATATTGCCCGTGTGCTAACTTTGTTATACGCATGTGACGTCATCTGATTCATATTTCACAAGACTTTAGCCACGCCCCCTTGTATCGTAGGTTCTTTTGTTTAGTTAGCAAACTGACCGCGTATTTGCACAATGAATGGGGCATATAACCGTTCATTTGTATTGATTTGATTGCGCGTGCAAGTTTCATTCACAAATGCAGCTGGGATACAGACTTTGTTGAATTGTAAACTGACCAGCCGAAAGGTCAGTGAAGATTACGAATGATCGGGTCAATGAAAGAGGAGAGAAAGAGAGAACCTGTGCTTCGTAGTTGTTCAACACTTGAGAGTTAATGTTTTACGATATTACATTGCAATACAGTAGCCGTGAATGAAACAAATAGGCCTTTACTCCATTCAACATAATATACTTTAGGATATATCTAAAAATAACATATTATATATAAACTCTAAGCAAATCGATATTTCAATCCAATAAAAAGGTGCAATAATGTTTACGCTTCACTAAATCTTTAGACGTGATTCATTTACTTTTTGGGTGTGACCAGAAAAATCACGTGATTTTTATTTTGGCCTAAATAAAATTATTTTCAGTGTAAAATGTCATTTTTTTTAAAATATGGATATTTTAAAAACCTGAATTGATCCTTTGATTAGTAAAGTATTACAGACATCTCTTTTTACATACATTTCACGTCATTGTGGCATGATTGTGCAATATAACATAATATAATACTTTTAATAACATGTCAAAGCTAAGAGTTGAAATGGTTAAATTTATAACTCAATATATTAATTCTAAGGTCTAAATGTACTTCTTGCACGAAAAAATGCTCCCCTTTACCCCCCACGAAAAAAATGTAACCTAACAACAAACAAACCCTCAACAGTTTGAAGCTTACAATCAGACTGCCAGATGTTAGTCTAATTCTTATTGTTAATCCACCAAATTATAGATTAAATGGTCTAAACTAAACAATAAAGTGAAATCAACGTTCTACTTTTCTCAATCGACTAGGCTGATGCATTCAGTCTATGCTAAACCTCTTTGAATCGAGTCAAAATAACATAATGACATATTTTGATCTGATGTTTTATTTCAAATAGAGATGGGGCAAGTCTGATACTGTTAATTTTTTATTTTGAAAGATTAAGTCAGAGTCGTTTTTTATTGCTAATTTCAGTTCATTTTGTGGCTTTCGTACAACTAAGGCAAAATGTCATCTCACAAATCAATTCAAAATAAAAAAAAATCCAATGAAATCGACAATTATATTTTTGTTCCAAATCAAAGAGGTTTTGTTATTTTAAGAGTGAAATCTAATATAGCATCTCGCGATAATCCACCCTTATCCCCTTCCTATCTATTCACAGAAAGCACCCAGCTGAAGAATTCCATTCTACCTCCATCCCACATACTCCTTCCTACCACTCACACTGATGATATAATACAAACGTTTGAAACATCAATAATCTAATTAATAATCAATGAATGATAGCTAATTGACTTATTAACAATTTAGTAACAACACTGCAAACCGAATTAGATAAAGCGTGCAGAATCTGCCAATTCAAAAACATGCGACAGACCTTTTTTTTTCTCCGACACATTTTTTAAAATTAAGAACCGGGTTAATTCTGCGCATGTTACCCTTTCCCACCTAATGTGGAATTTGTTAACCGAGATTTTTTTTTTCATGAATGATTTATTATTCAATCCTTGAGGGAACATTAAAATCGTACAGAATCTTCGTCATGGCATAATATCAATGGGATAGAAGAGAAGGAGAAACTATATAAAGAACCCCAGATTAAAAAAAAAAAGTAGTTCCAAGTTATTAATAAATCAACATTTCTCAATGAAAAGATCATTCTTTTGACGTCATCATTATGCTAGAGCGCACCTGTTATATACGTCATTCGTTGATGACGTCATGAGATTATAAACATTTGATAAAATAATAATATACTTGAAGCTTTTAAAACACGACATGTGACATCTTTAATAGTTATACTTTTGTAGACAAAAAAGTCTGAACACGTAATGAAATCCCGTGTGTTTGACTATGTCATAATAGTAAATCTACAATAGCACCGCACTGATGGCATCACTCTATCAGCTTCAACAGAATCGCTACAAATCGACAAAGTCGTCATTTTCTCCCATATGGCATAAAACGGGAGACTAATGGCGAGGGATTGATAGGAAATTCTTAAAATAGATTAAGTACTATTTGAAATAGACAAGATGCTCATATGTTGAATAATAACCCCTGCAGGTTGGATAGAATTCCAACAGAAAATAACATCATACAAAGGAAGTACAGAGTAAAAGATGACATTTCTGTAACTTCAATCTATGTACATCTCGCTAGTCGTTTGATGACTACCGCCTGATTCACTCACAGACAAATATTCAATATTTCATTCTCGAGGTATTTTAATATTAATTTTAGATCGGTAGAAGAGAGATAACTGATTGATTATATTTAATGTGATCTGACCCCGTGACACGGATTGCATCGAATGACGTAGGTATAGTCTTCGCGACGATTATTCCTCTGGTTGCTATGAGAAACTGTCTTGCGTAGGTGTTCTGTAGAAATCGATGGTACCTCTGTTTATAGATATGTTGGTGCTAGGCCGTTAAATTCCTGCACCGCAACGTATTATCACTACCGATGCGACAACGATCTGCCTACTTATTTATGTAAGTATTATTAAAAATCATATTAATTGCAATTATTTTGTGATTCGCAGATATTAAAAATGGAAGCTGTATGCATTATATAGTTTTACAACATGAACTTGTTTATAACGGATCACCTTGTTTTGGTATATACTGTATTCGCCTTTGTTTATTACGTAACATTTATACTATTATGCATTATTGTTTACAAAATTGATTGAATATTTCAAGTAAATTTCAGGGATTTTTATTTTTACATACAATTTTAGTAGTAGAATATCTTGTTAGCCATCATTTTGCGCACTATTTATTTTGGTTGGCTATTAATAGAATGCCGTTATCGATTTTTCTAAATAAGTAAAAGCAATAGGAGAAAATGACAAGGAGAGTTACAGGGGGATTGGTGTATATTAATGGGGGGGGGGGGTACAACAGTGTATACTATGTATACGAAATGCAAACTGCATAAATAATAAAATGATATAATGGAACCATTTTGTGTATATATATTGATTCGTCTGTGGTTGAGTAATATATCGTATTAAAGCCAGTTATTTTAGTGGCTGAAGAGGGAAAGAAAAGTTAACGGTATCTATAAATAGCCGTCGACTGAGCTATTTTGGTATCGTAATGTTTATTTGATATGAAAAATGGAGGGTTTAGATTGTGAGCACCACTGTTGTGATTCACATGTTTATATTACTCATTGCTGCCAACGAAAAAATAATATTAAACGTTGTCAATTTTTTTAAGAAGTTGTAAGGGTCCCGAGGATAAATGCAGCTGGGCGCAGCCGCTTCTGCAAGGGCCGAATTAACGCGACCATCACGATATTTTGGAAGTGTACGTATGGAATTTTTAGTGTAGCGTTGTACACGCCTGGAACATGATCTGCCACTACAAACCGCCACGAGATTTGACATCGCAAAGACAACCATCGTTAGCTGACAATACAATTAACCGCGCATTTCACACACATATATATATATAATATATAAATATATATATATATATATATATATTATACGCATGCTAAGCACGCTGATCGCTAATATCTATATATGCATGATGATTCATATTGTCCTAATTAAGCGATCAGTAGAGTAAAATTATAAATTGTAATTAGCAGACAATTTTTTACACGGTGCAATCATCTCGTAATGCCATGCCATTTTAAAATCTATAAATAGTAACAGGGTCAAAACGTCTCATGGTCTAATCGATTGCTAGCTAAAAACGACTGCCTTCTGACGTCATAGTTCCGCACAGTGGTAAATGTCAGATGTATCGTCTCGATTATCCACAAACGTAGTTTATTTCCCGAGGCAAAACCAGGAAAATTATATTCTTCAAGAGTCTTCTTACTGACATGATTTTTTTGACTGATTTAAAAATAAATTTGTCAAGCTGGAATCATTAAAGGTTCCGCGAGCAAAATGGATAATATGTTAGCGTCATGTTCGTCACTGAAGAATTAAATTGAGTTCCAATCCATGCTATGCATGGAAATAGTGCCACATAATTATATATTATTAGAATCTACTATATATTTGTACAAGAAACATGGCTTAGTTACGCCAGCTTTAATTGCATGTCCTTAATTAAATTTAGACGCACAACACATTGAAAACATATTTGTAATTTTACAGTCTTGTCGTATACAAGAGTCAATCGAATGCCTTCAATAACTGCAACACTTAAGAAATTCAAACGTAAATATTTCGAATTTTTTAGTATACTTATAGGTTTTGTACAAAATTCGCAAACCAATGTAATACAAACTCACAAATCAAGCGACATATAAATATTTTGTTCAACATAAATTGTAAAACATTATATTTTTTACTGTGCATTTTAGTACTGTTCAACTGTGTACATGGGACCTCGGTTTTTTACCCCATTCGAACGAATTTGCGTTGTCCCATGTCAGACCCTCTGTTCTGCTACACTGGCAAGGGAGAACCACGCCGGAATAGGCCTACACGGTAATGATTTCAAAACTGACATGGATCCATGTCTCGAGCCACCCCTTAAACTTTTATAATAATAACCATTAAAAACTACAGAACAATGAATGTCTTATATCGACTAAAAGTAGAGACCCTCTAAATATGTTGTTAATTTTCACCATTCCGATTAACGTTCTTGCCATGCAACATCCCAAATTCAAGGGAGGCTAACGCAACATTCATCTATGGGCAAAAAATAAAAATAAATAAAAAAATATGCCCCCACCCTCCCAAAGTTAATAATTATATTAACTGTTAAATTTTAAAATTAAATTTGCCAGCATGACTACGACCAATTTTAAATCGCCATTTTCTGCACAATGTGCCATGTGCAAGCCGCATATAATGAACGGGCACTAATATTATGCTGCTGTCTGTTTGTGTAAGTGATTTCTTGTCCGCGGGTTTGTCTTGTCTGCTTTGTTTTGTGTGTAGTGTGGTTCTCCTACATTTACTATGGAATTTAATTATGTCTTGGATCTTATGTTTATTTGACGTACCACAGTCATAACCCCATCTCCAGATCACCCTGAAACAAATGGCCACTATACCAGGCGCGTAAAGTATTCACAGCGCATGCTCACGTTAAACATGAATGCAAACCACAACGAGTAACAAAGTCAATATAGGCTATTCGTTGCCATGGTTTTTCCTGAATGACCTTGTCTTTCATTCATTCGGTCATTTGGACTTTCATTCACACTTGCATGTTCATTCATTCGCATGCGCGTTCATCAACACAGCCCACGCGAATTTAATCAAGCCGGAATATTGATCGCACAGTTCATTTTTCACAGTCGTCTCGGCTGGCTGGATTAATCACTCATGTCGTAGCTAAGATTATCCAGCCTTTCTTGTTGCTACGCGGCCTTGTCTAGCATGCCAGAATCTTTTTGCAGGCTGCATTAGTGTTTTTAATGTCATATCGACTAATGAGTGAGTACATTTTACAGCAGTACGACGACATCTCGTCTGATGATATAGTGCGATTAATTATTTATAAAATCTTGTACAGATAGTGGTGAGGTCAGAAAAATAAAACATAGTGTGCTTCTGTATGTAAAATGAAATGGGGTTTATTAACGTCCTACTGTTCTACTGCGACTTGGCTAATGAAGACGCGCATGCATACGACATACAGTGTACGATTGGTACTATTGCCTACTCTTATATCGAATTCCAACTGCCAAGGATCTTTTACGTGCACGCCAATGTGTAGTCTACATGTACACGAGAGCTTGGTTTTTCGTCCAAGGGAAACCACGCCGGAAAATCCCCATCAAATTTCCTCGGCCAACACCGCGATCGAAACCGCGACCTCCAGGCTAGCGAGCCAGCGTCTTACTCACTTAGCCACCGTGGCTCCCACGTGCTTCTGTATGGCGTTTATAGCCTATTTAGTAGGTCTAGTGACATGTTTATTAAATCGAATTAAAATCTACACCCTGTTCACATGTATAATATTTAGTTTGTTGTAATTAAAATAACTCATTTGGTACCGTAGTTATGATTCGGTAGTTCTTTAGGCCTATTTTAATTTTCATTCGGAGCAGGAGTTTTTAAAACGAATTATAGGAATATAAGAATTTATTTCATGGAACGTATAACTGAACTGACTGAACTGAAATGAGGTTTAACGTCTTGCTGTTCTGCTCTGATAGAGCTTATAAAGACGGGCATACGCTTTACTCGGGCAGCGGTGCTACGGCTTACTCATATATCGAATTCCACATGCCAAGGATTCTTTTACGTGTACGGCAATGTGTACACGAGGGCTCGGTTTTTCGTCCCAGAAGAATGACTATATATTTTTCTTTGCCAGGACCCCCATCCTGGATGAACTTTCTCGTCCAGAGATAGAACACGGGACCCACAGGTTAGGGAGCAAACGCCTTACTCACTGGGTCATCGTGTCTCCCTGAGATACGTACAACGCTATTTATCAGTACGCATTTGACGCATATATTATAGTATGTACAAGGAGCCACAGTTGCTCAGTGATAAAAGCACAGAATCGTGAACCTGTATTCCGGGTTCATCCGTATTGTTCAGCGTCGTGGTTTCTCAATGCCAGCCTCAAGCCTGGGCCCTGCAAAGCAAAGCCTCTAGTCACTCGGGTGGTACACAAGACGGAGGCCAACCCCTGTACTCATTGGTGTGCACGTGAAAAAACCCTTGACAATTGGAATCCAATGACAAGCAGGCGAAAACGCCGTTGTCCGGGTAAAATTTCACCCAATGCACAGATCTTCGCGTATGTCCGTCTTCATTAATCTGTATACAGTAGGAAATGGAAGAAGAATTACGCGGACATCTGACATTGCACACGTAAGCATGGGAATAGTAATAGAGACTTTTGGCAAGCGGATTTTCCCCATCCGTATCCCGTATCCGTATCGTATACGTGATACGTTGCGTCAATGTAGTTTTAGAGTTTTGGCAGATTTTAGAAATTTTTGGTTTCATTAATGTATCATTTCAGAAAGTTTCATTGATGACGTCACACGCAAAATCCATACGGATACGCGATACGGACCAGGAAATTACGCTTGCCAAAAGTCTCTAATGTCTCAAAATGAATGAAGTATTGTGTTGACGAGACATTTTTTGTATATAGTTGTGATTAATAAACCGATATTTCCAGAGCGGGTCTGATCCATACATAGACTAGATAGATGATCGAGTTTAAAGGACAATACTAATTAAATACTAATTAAATACTAATATAATTTTAACACATAGATCATTGCTACGATAGCTGAGTAATACAGGTTTCCTGAATCGGAAGTGACGAACGTCAAAGGAAAACACGAGTCATACCTTTATATAACTGACTGATGTGACGAGTGATAACAGATACACGGCCGAATTTCTGCTCACTAATAATTCCTTCCAAGACCAAAATTTGTTGTGTGAGACTGTGAGAGGATATCTGACAATTCATAAAAAGAATTGACTGCCACTAGATAAGAGAACACGAAAGAAAAACAGAAAAAGTCCGTGCATTACCAT